CTGAGTGGCCTGACTTTGGGTGGGGGGCGCTGGCTTATCAGGGAATGGGGAAGCATGGGGGCAGGTGTGGGGTTCTGGGCCAGGAGCTGGACAGGAAGCCCTGTCCCTGTCCTCAGTCCAGCTGCCTCTCCCTTCCCACTACCCCTCCTCCTGGCCCCATCCCTGAGGCCCTGGCTGGAGTGACAGGGAGACTCAACAGGGTGCTGGGCAGTAGCAATTTGGGGGATATTACACAGGAATGTTTACAGAAAGGCAATTGCCCGGAAAATGACTTTGGTTGCTGTGGTATGGGGCGGAAAAGATGGTTTTAGAAAACAGACACAGATGGTCTTCTGCTCCAGGGACCCACAGACAGACAGCAGGGACTGGGGGGCATGGACACCCAAGGAGCGACAATCAGGGGAGCAGTGGGAACAGACAGAGGCCAGTTCCTTCACGGAGCGCAAGAGCAGAGGGCCGGGACGAGCCTCTCACCTGATCCAGGTTCCTGGAGCTTCTGCCAAGCTTAAGAAAAAGATGTACCTGGTCCCTTGGCGACCTTTGTCCTCTGGCCTGGCTCCCAGCACTGTGGGCTCCGGGCTGCAGCAGGCACCCAGTGGGTTGGAGACGTCAGGCACAATGGATGGTGGCAGTGGCCTCGGGGCTCCTCCTGGGTGACAGCCTCCGCAGGTTTTGGCTGGAGGCGGTGGGGCCAGGGAGCCTTGCTCTGAGGAGAATTGAGTGCGGCCCTCTGGGAGGAGAGCCAGGTGCTCCAGCAACCTCCATGCACCCCACCTTGCTGGGATCTAACCAGAATACCTCGTGGGTTCCCTGAGCTGGTGCCCAGCCCCCACCTCTGCCTGGGCAATGGGTGGCGCACACCTGGAGGGGGCCTTGCCCAGCCACCTGGTCCCTGGGGAGGAGAAACAGGAGCTGAACTCTAGGTCCTGAGTCGGGGGAGGTCCAAGCCGGGGTCCCAGAGAGAATCATCTTTCTGTAGCTGGTAACTTCGCTCTTCCCTCTGCTTTCTCCACTTCCTCTCTCTTTTCCCTCCCCCTCTTCTCCACACTCTCTTCCTCTGACGATGATGTCATGTGAGACTGCTGCCCAGCAGCAGCCGGGGACAGAGTGGACGGTGACATCTGGGGTAAAGATGCCAGGTGGGGATCGGTGTGCTGGCTTACGAGACAGCGTCACTTAAACAGGGGTCTGATTCTCTTCATGGGTTACAGCGATCTCATGGAAAAGACTGCAGTGAGGATAAAAATAAATCAGGCTCATAAATAAATGCGGAATTAGGAATTAGTGGAACAAATAACAATTTTGCTCTCTCGCGGAGCACCTGCGCGTCTGTCTGCGGCCGACCACTGGGGGGCGCCCACTGCTTCCCAGTCGCCCTGCCCCTGGCTGGAAGGTTGAGCTGAGGGTGACCAGAGTCCCCCTTCTGCCTCCCAGCATCCCTCACCCTGAGCTGGGTTTCACTCATCCTGGGTATCTTCCCCATAGCTTGAAGCTCTGACTCAACAGTTATGGTGGGCCTTGCACACTGAGGGTCTTCAGAAAGACGCAAATCCTCCAGCCCCAGTCTGCCTCTCAGGGGTGTTCAGTCCCAACCCCCCTCAGGGCACCCCAACCTTGCCCTACCTCCTAGGCCCTAATGCCCCTTCCCAAGACATCATGCCCCTGCCCCGCCACCCCAGAGTCCTTTAACCCCCTCGTCCCAACCCTAGCAGAACCTGGCCCAGTGCCCCCTCGGCCTCCTGCGCTCCTCTCCCCCTCCTCCCTTGAAGACCCCTGTCTGGGTGGGTGCCTCACTGCCTGCAGCTGAGCAGGAAGCACTGGTCTGCTCAGGGCCCAGGGTGCCCAGGCCTGCTGCTGGGGGGAGGAGCCGCTCTCCTGGGCTTGTCCCTGGACTGCTCCATGTGGTGGGGCAGGGCGCTGCCCCCGGGGGGGCCGGGTGGGGCTGTTTTGGCGGGCAGTGGGAGTCAGTCTGCTCCAACCCCACATGCTCACCTGCTGGGAGCCTCTGTGATTCAAGACAACACACTTGCTTCTCCATTGTCTCAGCTTCTCCTGTGGTGCCCAGTGCAGGGTTTAGAGGTTAACGCCCCTATTTTACAAACTAGTGGCCAGGGGCTCCCAGAGGGAGCCTGGGACCCTGGGGAAGGAGGCGAGTAAACCCACACTGGCTGCGGCCGGGTTTCCCTCCCGATGCTCTGAGTGCAAGTGTGGCCCGCGGCTCAGGGATGAGTTCATACTCCAGCCTGCGGGAGCACCCTGGCATACCTTCTTCGCAGGACAACAGGTGGCCCCAGCCCAGAGTCCCAGGCCAGTCCTCCAGCCCACAGGGCCTTGCAGAAAGGAGAGCAGTAGCAGAGCAGGGCTAGTTCACGCAGACCCCTCCCCCCTGGTTTCCTTCTTGGGAAGTGGAGTCAAAACTGTGAAGACTCTCGGGCAGACTCAGAGGCCTTTCCGTCAAAGCCCTTTCCCACGACCCTCGGAGATACAGAGTATGTATCTCCTCACGCTCCTCAGAGCACGTATCTCCTGCCTCACGGCATCCTGCCTTTGGTGAGGGCTGGGCACCCGGGGTGAGCGCTGGCCGCCAGGAAGCTGGGTGGGCCTAGGCCTTCCTTGCCCCTCTCTGTTCCCCAGCACGGCTGCCTGGGGGACCCTGCCTCGGCAGGGCTAAGCACCACTGTCCCCCGCTGCTTCCACTGCACCCTGCCCGTCCTTTCTAGTGGGCAGAGCAGTCTCTGCAGCCCCCGTGGGTGGTGAGGTGAGAGAAGGGAGGTCACCATCAGGGAGGTGCCCCTGACTCAGGTTGGGGCTGTCTCTCCAGGGCCTGCTGTACCCCCAACTGGCCACCCTGAGTTTCTATCAGCTCCCCTAAGTGCAGGGGGTGCGCCTTCATGAAAGGTTCCCAAGGTTTTAGCCTCAGTGGGTCAGGGATATCTGCAGGAATTCACTCCACATCAGACAATCTGCCCTGTGTAACCCAACGTTCTTCATGAACTCACTTTGAACTTTCTAATTTACACAGAAGGAAATCTTATCTTTTCCACCCTAGGGAACTACATCCATGAAATCAGCGATTGAAGCTTCTAGTTGCCTTACTCTCCTCACTTGTTATGAAAATAAAGGCACATTTTACATGTTACATAATAAAATGTAAAAAGCGTCCCTCTCAAAGTCTGGGGTGTTGGGGAGGCAGGTGACCTCCCCGACACATGTCTCTTGTGTGTCTGGGCCGCACTTTGAGGAGCAGCACCAGGGGACCCCAGACCCAGAACCATGGTAGGGGAATCAGCGTGTGCTGTGTGGTGGGCTTGTCACCAATAAATGGGTGACGGCAAGCTTTACAGATGTGGGGCTCAGCTCTGGACTCCAGCACTCACTGTGGCTTTAGACATGTCACTGGGCTTCTCTCACCTCGGCATTCCCACCTCTGAAATGGGACCCCAGTAACACCTACCTGGTGGGGTGTTGGGGAGGCTGGTGACCATGACGAGGGGTTCGTGCCTTGGAGGCTGTGGGCTCTGCCCACCAGAGCAGTTCTTCCTTTGGTCTTGGTGGGAGATGCTGGGCCCCTTGGGCTCTGTCCCCCAGAGCACGGGCCTCACATCCCCAGGGAGGTGTGTGCATGCACACGTGCCATCATGCGAGCGCTCGAGTTCAGGTGTGCTGAAACCGTTGGGTCTCTCCCTTTCTCTCCCTGCGGCTTGAGCAAGAGGCTCCTGAGACCTGCGTGGCTCTGATAAACCCTGGATGTGTGGGAAGAGGGGGGCTGACGAGGGGCTCGGGGGATGGAACTTGGCCAGGTCCTCGGATCCACAGCCTCCTCCCTGGCCAGTCGGCCCTTTAGGAAGCCCCTGCAAGTCGGTGCCTTGAGGGGCGTTACTGTAGTGCCTTGATGCTTCCAGACCTGGTTATGCCTGGGGTTGTGGTGCTGCTTGGAGGCTGGTGGATTGTGGGTCAGTGGCTGTGCAGGGAGACTTCTAGAGAGAAGCAAGAGCACATCCGTTTATGCCCAGCAGCCCCGGGCTGGGGGCGTGGGTGACCCTCAGGAACCCTCTCCTGGGCTGTGAGAAGGTCATTTAGGCTGGAAGGTGGGAGACAGTAGAGCTGGGCCAGGGCGGGGGAGGGGGGGCTGGAACTGAGGGCTGATGAGCATTTGGGGAGGGGATTTAGACTTCTGCATGGGGCCTTCAACCCCCGGCCTTCTCTTTTGTTCGCTTTTGTACTGTCCTTTGTCCCCTGTGCGTCCCTACAGGGCTTCAGCCTGTGTGTGTGTTGGGAAGGGAGGTGATGAGAGGGAGGAAAGGGCCTCCCGGGAGGCTCGAGCTGTTCTGTCTGCTTCTTTCTCCTTTGAGTTTGTCCCAGTCATCTCTCACTGTCCTCTCTGTGCCAGCCTCTCCTGTCTGTCCATCTGTCTGTCTCTGGGAGGGAAGGGAAGGCGTCCATGCCCCCGACCCTGGGCTTCCACCGCCCCAGGAAGCCCTGAGTGTGACCTTTGCCTCCATGCCCCGGATATATCCTAGTCCTGACCCTTTCCCAGGCCGCCTGCAGCCTCAGCACAGTGTCCTGGACTCACACCTCACGTTCCTTAAGGGGTGCTTTAAAGGAAGCCGGTGCAGCGCCTTCCTGCCTCTTCAGGAGGCCGCTTAAAGGCGACTCCCCTCCCTTCACCTGTTCACACCAGCATCAGGAAGCAGCAGGGGGCGGTTTAGAGGGCGTCAGAGCCCCTTCTCCAACCCCTCCTCTGCCTCAGAGGACAGCGCCTCGTCTGCAGGCATTAGCCCTCCACGCCACTGGTGAAGAGCAAGGAGCTGCCCTCGCTGTCACCTTCCTTTTCACCTTTCGGCCTCGTCCCGCCCCCTAGTGGGCGCAGGCAGTCCTTGACTCACTCCGGCGTCAGCCTGCCCCTCCCCAAGCCCCCCCCCCGTGACCCCAGGTGGGGAGAGGGCAGCCCCAAGGCCCCGCGCGCCTTGACCCCGCGTGCCCCCTCTCCCCTCTCGCAGATCCCGAGCGGAGCAGCCCCCCCATGCTGTCTGCCGACGATGCCGAGTACCCGCGGGAGTACCGGACCCTGGGGGGCGGGGGCGGCGGGAGCGGCGGGGGCCGGCGCTTCTCCAACGTGGGGCTGGTGCACACGTCCGAGCGGCGGCACACGGTGATCGCCGCCCAGAGCCTGGAGGCGCTCAGCGGACTCCAGAAGGCGGATGCCGACCGCAAGCGCGACGCCTTCATGGACCACCTGAAGAGCAAGTACCCCCAGCACGCCCTGGCCCTCCGGGGTCAGCAGGACAGGATGCGAGAGCAGGTGAGTGGGGGCTCGCTGCGGGCTGGGGGTGGGGTCTGAGCCCGCGCTTCTGCCCCCTGGCTCATTCCCATTCCGAGAGGCGTCTGGGGCGAGAGGGAGGGGAGAAGCAAAAGACGTGGCAGATGCCCTGGTTGCTTTTTCTGGAGCCTGGGAGGAAGAGGGTGGAGCTCAGCCTCCAGACCTCTCTCCTGCAGCCCTGATTTTGGAGCGCGGTAGTGGGCGCTGCCCACCTTCTTTAGGCCATTGGACTGGGCAGGGGGCGGGCAGGTGTGTGAGGTCGAGGGAGTGGTGGGAAGAGTCTGACTGAGTCTTAGGGTCTAATGGGGAAGTGGAGTCAACAACTCTGACATGGCCTTGGGACATAGGTGGGCAGGATCTGATGTGCACCGCAGAACAGACACCAGAACTCCTGGGGCCGTCTACCTTCTTCCCCCAAAACATGTTGTGTGGCTTTGCGTTAGAGGCCGCCCCTCTCTGTGCCTGGATCTCAGTCCTGCCATCTGTAAGGCTTAGAGACAGGCAGTGCTCCTGCCTCTGACGGGACCTGTCTCCTGCTGTGTGGGGTGGATGCTTCCCTTGTAAACCTCTCCCAGATCCTTGGGTTCCTGGGTGCGTCTCTTCATCCAAGTATGACCTTGTCTGTAGGAAAGTTCTTTCTTGGGACTAACCTGCGTCTAGCCTTGCATAGGCATGAGGCCGTGACAGCTCTGAGACTCAGGCATTGTCCACTCTGGGAGAAGGGTCTGAGTAGGGTGGGACAACTCAGCATCATTTCCATTGAGCCTTGGGTGTCAGGGCTTCCACATTTGTCTTGCACTTTTTCCCTTTCCAGATACGGCTGGGGGTGACAGGGAACGGGGAAGAGTGTCCCCACTCTCATCCTCCCTACAGGGAATGTGGACACATTGGTGCATTTCTGGTACCTTACCTCCCCCCTGATGTCACCCCCAGTTCTGTCTTTACCTGGGCCAAGGGTTGCAGACGAAGGAGAAATGGCCCCTACCCCCAGGGAGCTCCTCTCAGGATGCTTGGACGTGGGAGGAGGCAGCAGAGGCATTTGTGACCTAAATGGGCAAAAGGACCATTAAATATAAATATGAGGGGCACAGTCAGCTGGAAGAGGGTTTAGAGGAACAGAGGTCAAGATGGGCTGGCTGGTAAGAGATGGCTTCCTGGAAGAGGAGGTACCTAGACTTGGCAGGATGAAAAGGGTCGGAATAGACATCCAAGAAGGGAATGGTGGAAGGTGGGAGCTAAGCACGGGCCTGGCTTGGACTGGCCCAAAGGCCCACCTGGCAGGTGCCAAAGGGTCAGGGTGGGAGCAGTGGGAGTATGGGGGCAGACTGCTGGTGACCAGTAGGGCTGCAGTGGTTTTGGGATACTGAACTGGAGGGGCTGAAGGGGGAACCTGAGGCTGGGGGAGAGAAGGACGAGTTTATGGGGAGGGCCAAGAAGGGGTGGAGGCTTGGACCGGAAACTGAGCGAGGCTTGCTTGCTGCCTGCACAAACACCCTAGGTGCAGGAAGACGGGGTGCCCTGGGAAGAAGTAGGAGCATTGGGGGATGCCTGAGGAGTGGCCACGGGAAGATGGGAGGCGATCCCAGAGCAGGTGGGGCTTTCACAGGGGTGCTCCTAGGCCTGAATGTGCAACTGCTGGCTGGGAGGTGACCACAAGGGGAGGGCCGTGCATGATGGGCCATGATCTAGGCAGAGAGTGAGGTGGGGACAGGAGGTGTATAAGCTGGGCCCCAGGCAGAGTAGGGTCTGAGAGAGGGAGGACAGCAGGCAAGTGAACAAAGGCCCGGCAGGAGCCCCCTGCACTTCAGAGGTAGGAGGGATTGGGGGAGAGAGTTGGGGCTCACGGGTCTGTGGAGTTGGGAGCTGATGACCAGTTGGGGCCATTGAGGGCCCAGGACCCGTGGCCACAGACCTGTCTAGGGAGCTCCCACCGGGCAGCGGTGAAGGCAGCCAGGGTGGCGGCCTCGGGGGCAGCAGGCCTGCGAGGGAAGACGGGGTTTCTGGCACGTGCACATGCCCTCAGATCAGGCCCTCAGAACAACTTGGGTGAGGACCGAGAGCAGGCTTTAATCATCGCTCATTCTCTCCCTCCCGGAGAGCAAGCGGACAGCATCACACTTGCCATGGGATGTTCAGAGCCTGAGTTCAGTAAACGCTCGCAGACTAAATGAAGACAGATGGGTCCGGGAGGCGGCAAGGGGACAGGGCCGTGGGGAAGAGGGTTCCTGGAGGAGTCAGGAGCGGGGTGAGACTCAAGCCTCGGTGTGGGAGAGGAGAGTCAGGGAAGAAAGAGCGCTGTAGGGATGGAGGCGCCCTGGGTGAGACCTCTGGGGATGATCCTGAGTCAGAGTCAGGTAGGTGACACCATCGGTGAGGAAGAAGTGAAGAGCTGGAGGAGGCGAGAGGTGGGGATCAGCTCCTTGGCAAGGTGCCCAAGGAGGTGGTCAAGAGTGGAAGCAAAGAACCTTAGAGAATCTGATGGGGAAAGCGGCCCAGGGAGCCCTCAGCCTGACAGGAGAGAGACATCTAGAACCGGACCTAGCACTCAGCTAGAGACCAGCCCTGGTGAGAGACTTGCCGATGCCACGGTGCCTTTCTATGCAAAAGTTCACCCCTGGAATGCCCCTCCCTACCAGTCCCCCAGCGGCTCCTGCCCGCCCCCCCTAATGGGGTGTCCCCCCCCCGCTTCACACACACAGGTTGGCGGCTGGACCGTGGACCCTGTGTGCCTCCTCAGCTCCCTCTGCTCCCACCTCCATGGCGACTCCGCCCCCTCCGGGGCTGGCCAGCCGGCCCAGGTGAGTCACCCACCTCCACCCCACCCCCCAAGGCCATGGCTTTGGGGGGGGGGATTTTTTTCTCTTGGAGGGGGGAATATCAGGATTTTTATTTTGATCCCTTTCTTTTATATAGGAGCCCTCTGCCCCCCTTTTAGGAGACTCCTGTGCCCTGTCATCACCCTCTAATTGTCCAATCCCTCCACTCACTACCTCCCCAAGCCTGTGACAGTTTGGCTTTGGGGAGGAATTTTTTGAGGGAGAACACTCAAGTTTTGGGAAAAAAAACTGTATTCTTTCCTTCTTTACACAGGAGCACCGTCTCCCTTCCCTGGCCACCACATGACTGCTTTTCAGGAGTTTCTTATGCTCTGTCTCAGAACTCCTGGCCGCTCCCCAACTGCAAGTCATCTCATCCCCCTGTCCCCACCCTCCTGTTCCATCTCCCAGCAGACCCCATCTTGCCCTATGTCTTATACCAGAAGGTTCTTCAGTGTCTTTCTCCCACCCTTCTTGTGACGGTCAAGGCTTAGTTTTAATTTTTGAGGACTTTGGCATCTAGTCGTTTGTTCTGAACTGACTCCCTGATTCCCCCCAAGCCTCAGTTTCCCTATCGGAAGATGGGTCTCAGTTTAGACAGGGTTTGGGCTCCCAGCTCAGGTCAGACATTGCCACGAGAGAACAGGAGACAGTGAGGTCCAAGTGGGATGGCGGGCTCGAGTCTCAAGGCGCAGGGGACCTTGACTCAGGGTGCTGAGCGGTGGGGGGCAGAGGCAGGGAAGCCAGTGTGCAGCACAGGTGCCAGCTTCACCTCCTCACACACCCTGTGCCCTGGGGAAGGGCAGCAAGGCTTGACTTTTCAAGGAGAGTTGGAAGGAAAAACACAGCAGCCTCAGAAAGGACAGGGCTCCAGAGCATGGGCGCTTTAGCCAAGTGTAACTCAACTCTAGCGACAGATTGGCACACTTGGCATCGTTCGTGGGGCATTCAGCCCACTTCCTTTCCCGGCTCTCTAGCCCATCTTGACTGAACTTCGAGGAACAGAGATGTGTCTGCTCCCAAGGCTAGGATGGACTTGTCCTGAGGGGGACAGGGATGGTGAAGGGCAGAGGCCCTCCCCAGGTGGAAGGTCTTGGAGCTACATTGGGTGGGGTGGTGGAGCCAGGCAGGACTTGGTGAGATGCCCCAGGTCCTGGGGTTTTAGGTCTGTCACAGCTGGAATCTGCTGTAGACAGAGGAAGGGGGAGAGCTTCCAGAAACGGGGCTGGGCAACAGCGGCTCCTGTCTTCCCTGGACACTTGGTGCTTGTGGGGCTTTCCATCCCTCAAGGCTGAGCTGAGGCTCTTTTGTCGTGGGATCAGAGAGTTCAGCACATGCCAGAGTCACACAGCAGAGCAGATCAAAGGCCATTCTCAGGCAGTCTGGGCCTCCCAGATTGACTGGGGGTGGAGTCACGGGAGAGCTAAGAGGACAGCGTGCGCGGCGGGACCCTGCTGGGGAGAGGCTGTGGGCTCGGGCCGCGACGGGTCGGAGGCAGGACCCGCGCCTCGGCCTCGCCCAGGTCAGACCTCGAGGGTGAGGCCAGGAGCGGCCCGGTGGGCGGTGGGGGCGCACAGGCTCCCAGCCGCAGGCGCTCCCCGCCTTCCAGCAGGCCGCTCGCCTCCCTCCCTCCCTCCTGCAACCCGAGTCCCGGGCGGCGGGCCGGCGTATCGGGTGACCGCGGCGACGCAGCCACCAGCCTCCGCCGCTCCTCGGCGGGGCTGCGCCG